TTTGGGATAAATGCACATTTGGGGCAAATGCATGTCCGAAATGATCTTCGCATTTGGGATATCTCAAATGCGCATTCCGATTTGGGATATCCGAAATGCGCATTTCGGACATTAACGCATTTGGGATACAACATAGCCAATAATATAAAGGCAGTATAAGCCCACAATTTAAAACAATGTACGTTGTTCTCGATAAATCGGCTCTATCAAAAAAAAATAAATCATTAGGAATAATTGCGGTCAAATAGAATTTTATTCGACAAGTGTTAGATCCTGAAATATTTATTTGATTAACGCAACCTAATAAAATTAAAAATATATATATTAGAATGAAAAAGAAAAAATTAAAGAAAATGAGAAAATTTTACCTATTATTTGGGGTTCGTGTTAAATCCGAGATCAAATCCCAAAAATTAATTGTCACCTAAGGTATGCCCGCTTTATAAATTATGTGACAATTATGCTGTATAGCTATGTGATGAATAGTGATTTTCAGGATTTCGTACCAATGAACATAGTGAAGTGAATAATATCATTATAACGTGATATTAATAGCATCTTAATCTTAATGATTTCTAATTGTTTTAAGTAAATATCATAATAACAAATAAAAGTTATTTAAAAGTGCATAGATCAATAAATTTTTAATAATGTTTATTAAGTTAGAATATACTTGTTTCCTATATTATTCGAAGGTGGTTAATGGGCCCGAATTGGTTTAGAATATATGATCAAATTATCATTATGCAGATTGCGTTAGAAATGTTTTGCCATATTCGTGTTAATATCATTTATAATAATTGTAACAATATTCATGATAAACATAATTAATGTAAGAGAGAAGCTTGTTAAAAATATCTTTCAAAGTTTTTCTCAATGAATCTGACACCTCCTAAGTTTAAAAAAATTGTTACTCCTCACTAATCTAGTTATTTCTACATTCCCGACACGACATTTTCATTTCGGACATAATCGTTTCAGTAGAACTATCTTAATTGTTAATATATACTAAAAGTTATTTAAATAACAGTTCAATGATTAGTCTTATAAATCGATCCAGAATAAAAATAGAATAAATTTAGCACCAGAACTGACTCAAGACAGGACTTAGGTCAGTTTCAAGGACTGACTCACGAACGAGTCCGGTCCAAAGAATAATGAATGACCCCTTTTTAGACCGAACCGGACCAATCGGACCGATCCTAATAAAATTATATTATTTTTACTAGGTAATTCCATAACAATGTTATATTAAATTAAAAGTATAATATTTACATTTTAGAACGCAGAAATGAATGTCACTCTTTTGAATATAGGCAATATTTTTATTGTTGATAACTTTAAAAAATATTTGAATAAATATCCGATCATATTTTATCATTTAAAAGATATTATTTGTATATTGAAAATTAAGATACTGCTTTCTAGATTTTTCATAAGTTAAGGGACAAGACAATTATTGATGCGGAGTATGACTTATAACAGTAAACACGTAATAGCCAATCTATTACATATAAATGTTGTGTTGTTTTTATTTCAACATAATTGTGAAAATTTTCAAAATTTGTTATAATAAAACAGAATTTCTATTTGTTTTTTTTTAATCCAGGAATGCGTTGTTAGCCCTGGAATTTTACCGAAACCAAGGTGACGAACTATTTATGCAATGCAATACGATATTGCACAAATAACCTTATCACGATTCAATTGTGTAGGTTGGTTATGTCAAGCGGAGCATATGGCGAGACACGAGGAAGGTTTGAAAGTGTAAAGGTATATTTTATTTTATTATAAAATTTGAAGTCCTATTATTTACTATTACCACTTTATTATTATGAAGTTCTGTTGAAATTACGTTGAAGTTACGAGAAAGTAACGAAGAAGCCCGTATCTTTCAACTCAAGGAAAAATACATGCTATTTATATAAAATAAACTAATAGTAATAGAATATGATAAATATATCTAATATAATAAATAAAATAAATATAATAAATCTATCAAATATAACAAATTTAATAAAGTTAATAAAGTTAACAAATATTATAAATATGATAAATATAGATCATTGGTCAAATATGACCAATCTGTCATATTTGTCAACTAAATCAGATGATCGCCGCAGTTACAGATCACGGCTTCAGCACTTAAGAATTTGTGATTGATATGCTTAAACGCGTCAAATTCTATAAAGTAGAATGGATGCTACTTGCAAACCGATTTTTAATATTTTTATTAGGATTTCTTAGTCTTGTATTTATGCAAAATTTGTATTAAATTGGAAATTCGTGTGTGAAAAATAAATTATGAATCAAAATTGGAATTGAATCGACCAGAAAAAAAAATATCTAGAAATTTTCTCTAGTAATTCTGTATAATAATTGATTTTTACCATAATTATTTTTATATGTAGCTAGGAAAGAAAAGACAATCAACGATCGCGAATGTTATGATCCAGATTGATTTCTCGTGTATTGAAGAAATTTCTGCGAACGGAAATTTGATTCATCGTCTAAGAATCGATTATCGCGAATCCCTCTCACAATAATCGCTTGCAACCCGATCTGTTCCTCGTATAACTGAACTCTTTTACTGAAAATAAATTAGCCAGTAAAAATGAAATTATTTTGGCATTTCTATGACCGAAGCAACAGAAAGAGGCCTTTCAAATAAGAGAGTTTTGTAATCACGAACGATCAATACGACATCATTGAACCTCCAAATAAATAAAACATGTAAAGACATGCAGTCCAGCGTGAATATTAAAACGGTTTGACATCGTCATATATTGTAGAACATTTACCTTAAGAATAGGCAATGACCGAAAACAATTGTTTAAGGAAAAGGAATAACGAAATTTCCGTTTAATAGTTATAAATCGCAATATCGTTTTCCTTGAAACAGTTTGAACGCTCGTTTGTTCTTTGGGATAAAAAATATTATATTTTCTTTTTAATAAAATCATTTTAAAGAATTTAACCTAATAAATAAATTTATTTTTTTTTTTTTTTTAAAAAAGCGATCTATCAAATTTGGTAATTCTAAATATTTGTTTCGACTCGACGAGCAGCCAATCCAATTTCTAAATTTGATAAACCCGAGCTCGCCGTATTGCGGGAATAATAGAAAATCTGTGCGTGTAACGTCAAATTAACATTCGATTCAAAATGGTTCGACGAATGCTAAACACGTTACTTTCGATTGATCTACAATATCACGATATTTTATAAAATTTTCTTTTTAGAATCTCATTTATCACACCTTCACCATCTTTTATTTGTTGAAATTAATTTATTCATTATAGATTTTAATATATAAAATTAATAATACATTATAAAATAATGATGATAATATACATATTAACAAAATAATTGAATGAGGGGAGTTATGCGGCGCTATAAGACTTTAAAATTGACCACATATTCTTTTTCGAATTAACAAAAGGAATAATTTGAAATACTTCATATTCATCAATGGAAAATTCTCCTTCATCATCCCTAATTTTATTTTCATAACTAGTTTGCACACACCTACATTCCCCGTTATCTTTAAAATCGGCACCAAATAATCTTAAATCGGAATAACCACCACCAAAACAAGGACCATAGGACTCACTTTGATAGATTGCTTTAGAGGCATTGGTAATTTTTGATAAATTAGGTTCATAATTAAATACTTTATCACCAAGGGAAAAAATAAATGATGAATTTGATGGACTATAGTTTCCTAATATATTTGAATGCCAATTGACCGGGTTATACCCTCCTAAGATTTCTCCCGTATTCTCAACCCTTAAAATTGTTACTGTTGGACCTTTTTCATCACACCTTGTATGAAATTCTTCAGGGGTAAACCCATCTCTGCTACCACGTAATAATAATTTAAATTCGAACAAAGGACCATCTTCTTGTGAAGAAAAGTTAATACCGTTACTCGATGAAACCTCGTAAATCCAATTTGCTATTAACGTTGCGTCAGAAGGTGTGATCAAATTGGAATCAATTTCTTTAATATGTCTTCGATCCCTCACTTCCAATAGTAAATTAAACAATTTAGAGGTAACATTAATAGCTGGTAGTTGACGATATTCAAGTACTTGGGTATAAAAGTCCGGATCAATATAATCTAAACATTTTTTCCAAGGTCTAACTTCTGAAAGGAATTCTTCAGAATCCATCTCGGTAAATTTAATTAAAGTAATAAAAGGTTCAAGCGTATCCCCTAAAGCTTCAAAATCCTCATCTGTCCACTCAACATATTGTATCGGTACCGATGGCGTGTGAGCGACACCCCATTCCACCAAATTTCTCCACAAAATTCCAGGTTTAATTGAAGAAAAGTTATGACATTTAAAAAAAGCGATTAATGTATCTTGATCGATCGTAGTAAAATCATTTGAATCAAATATTGTTGAAGGATTCTCTTTTATTAATTCGATTACACATTTTCTTATTTTGGGAAACCTTTCATCATTTTGCATCGCGAATCTGTGAAATAATACAAAATGTGACATTAACCTCCATGAATTATTTAATAAATATTCTTGAATGTAATCTGTCAGTTCATCAAGCTCTAATTCATCCGTTGAGATTAATAATTCGAGAATAATTCTTGCATCATGTTCTGCAAGGCATAATGATCCTCCATAAAGAAACCTAAGAAAGAAGACAATGTTTATTAACAGGATTATTGAACGAAACAATTTTTATGTTAAAAAAAAATTTTGTCTTACTTTAAAATGATTTCGAAAACTTCAGGAGAAATATCGAGTTGTTTGAAAATCATTAAATTTCCTTGGGTTTTTGCCCATTCATTTGAAAAAGCGTCTCTAAAATATGTTGATCTCGATCGTAATACAAGCGAATGGGCTCGGAATTCTTTATTATCAGGTTCTTGTCCTGTATATATGATGACATCCGCATATTCTCCTGTTTCCAACAATTTAAGATAATCTTGAGACAGACCTAACAAAAATTTGTTTTCCATCTTTCAAAAAAAAAGAAATTTTTTGTCAAAAAAAATTAATATTATTCAGTTATTTTAAAAAAAGTTTTTTTTTTTTTTTTTTAAGGGGGAGAATACGCTTTTATAATAATTCGTGAAACGAAACATGGGGTGGTTGTTGCAAAGACGCAAATTAATGCAAGTTGTTATAAATAGAAAATTGGCGGGAAAATCTTAATGTTTGACATAATTGTCACACTATTAACCTATAACCAATCAAAAAAAAAACAAATTCGTTTTCTTCTAAAAAAGATTTACTAATCATAATTGAAAAATAGGATGGATACTAATTCGGTCTTCGACCGATTTAAATAACATGTATTTTATCACGTGTTATCAATACGAAACGATACATCGACTGCGGATTGCGGTACGTTGAAAATAAATACATGTATATTCGAAATTTAGATTAATCTCCTTAAAATTTTATATCGAATCTTATTACTAAAACATTATTTAGCTTAATAAATTCTGATAGTTATAACTTTAATAATTTGACTATTAATAACTTTTTATACTTGAAATAATCGGAGGCGCAGAGACGATTGACAATAATATAAATATGAAAATAAAATTTTCTAATAAAAATGTTTTATTTGCTTATCAAGTAAATCTTTATATCAGTACAATTTGGCTTGAGAAATGTTTAATTTATTTTGTTTGTGTAATATCGTTTTTTTATTTTTATTTTATTTTTATATTTATTTGTTCTACTAGTACTAATTTCAGAATTTTATTCTTTTTTACTTTTGGTTTCAGTTCTTTAGCTTAGAGATTTTAAGCACCCTGACTGCGAAAGTATTTCAAATGTGTTCTAATTCATTGACTCATTTTTATTGTTAATTTATTGTTTATTTGCTCCTTTAGTATAGCCAAATAAAATATATTTTCCTTCATATTGTGATTTTAAGATTAATTACATAGTTGCTTACATGATTGTGTATATCAGTAAAAATAAAAATCAGAATATTTAAAATATATAATTGTATAATAAACTTAAATTAATATAAATTTTTCATTTAATCATATTTTAAATATTTAATAATATTAATTATTATACTGTATTTCAAAATATTAAACCTTTAACTTTTTTATCTTATAATTACAATTGAAATTTATTATTATTTTTAATAAATTATAATTAATTACATCAGGAAAATTTTTAGTTGATATATGACAATCATATGAATATAAAGTAGAAAATAAAAAGAATAATAACTATTTAATTTAAGTTTACAGGCCTTAGTAATAGTAATTCTATTTTCTAAAAAATATTAAAGTGCATTTATAATTATTGTTATTTATTATTATATTAATATAGGAAGAAAATATTTCATATAAATTATAATAGATTTTATTTTAAAATATGTAATTTTTATTTTAATCCAATGAAAAAAAGTTATACATGTTTCATACTGATTTCATACAGGTGTATACTGAAATCATACAGTTTTTGTGTAGTTATTTCATTTTTCATATAAAAATAATTATACAGAAATTTTAACGTAGAGAAATTGTACAGAAAAAAAATTTGAAATTTGAAATATATAAAAATTGTACTAAAATTGTATTGAAAAATTAAAACATACAGATTATATATAGTTTAATATTTTATCAATATATAGAAAATTTAACATTACTAAAAGTAAGTAATTAATTAATTTTTTACAAAAATTGCAAATAATAACAAACTAAATTCTAAAATCTTCCTTGATATTAAAAGTAAACTTGCAAATCAAACAAAAATACTATCTATGATTATAAATTTAAACTAGAAAATAATTATACAAAAACTATATTGATTAGTATAGTTGATATTTTTAATTCGGATGTTGTAGAAAAAATGTGTTAAAAATTTGAATATACAGACACTAGGGTTATTTCTTGTTTTGGCATCTTTGGCATCCTGCAATGCCCAAAAATTGTAGTGTTTTTTTTAACACAAAAGATACACAAAAACTGTTTAAGATTTTTTCATAAGGTAACAATTAAAAATTCTATAAAGAGATAGCTTAATTAATACTATTCTAATTATTTTTAGGATTTTTGTAATGAAAATAACTAATTCTATTATTGGAAAATTCATTTTATATATGAAATCAATTCTATCAAATTTGAATTAATTGAAACTCAAATAAAAAATTATATCTATTTTAGTAATGCATAAATTAAGCATAAAATACTTTATTTAATTTAAGAAAAAAAAAATAGTAAAATTAAATAAATAAACAAGAAAAATAATCATTTAAATAAAAAACCAAAAGCAAAAAATAAAATATAAAAAAATTTTAAAAAATCAATTCAAATTATAAAATAAATTTATAATTAATTAAGTTAAATTAGATTAATAAATAAGTTAGAATCAATTAACTAAAACTGAAAAATAATTTCAATTTCTAGTTCTAATTAAAATTATTATTAAAAATATTCTTTATAAAAATATATAATGTATTAATTAATAAAGAAGAGTAAATTCAATTAAAGTTATGACATTAGCTTATATGAACAATACATTATAAATTGCTAAATCAATGATTTATTCCAAATTCTTAACATTAAAGTTAATTAGAGCAAATCAGTCCTCTTAATTAATAACAAAAGAATAATTGAAATATTATAATTGAATTTTAAGATTGGATTAATCAATTCTTTAATTAATTTTACATCTTAAAATCAATTCTAATTCATAATACTATAATAATTATGATTATTAATAAAAATATTAATAATTTTTTATTTTTTTAACAAAGAGATGTTATTGAATGAAAAATTGGTAGTGATCATTACTAAATTTACTAACTTTTTTCACTTAATTAGAATGTGTGTTATACAAATCGATATAGATTAATTAATAAATAATTTGAATTAGAAAATTTGTAATACGAATAATTTATTTATGTTGTATAATATATATATATGCATATTCAATATACATATATATATGAGGTATATACAGGAGGATATAATTAGTATTGGCCAGTTTTGCAAATTCGTTTATTAAAATACTAATATAAAAACTTTATTTTTTTTTATTTAATCAAATTACAGGTTAATATTTAGTTGGACCCCATTAGCTGCAAGAACAACTTGAACCCGACGTGGCATTGACTTAATCAAATTGCGGTAATAATTTATGGGTACCGCATCCCATTCCTCTTTAACCCATATTTCCAATTACGTAACACTTGACAGCTGTGAAGTTCGTTTGCAGATCTTAACCTCAATATAAGACTAAAGATTCTCTATTGGATTAATATCAGGACTTTGAGCCAGCCAGGGAAGTACCTCAACTTTTGAGAATATGAGAAAAGAATGGGCAACCTTCGCGATGTGAATAGGTGCGTTATCTTCTTGAAAAAGAAATTTTTTTTTGGTTTTTTTTGCATGAGATTTAACTGTAGGAATTGCATAATTAACCAAAATTTCCTTATGTGAAATTCTAGTAACGCGACCAACCAAGGGAACCAAAGAACCCAAACAACCCAGAAAAAACACCCCCAAAACATGCGACCAAAGCTTTTTTGGACTGTAGCAGCAATGCAGTCTTTATGCAACTCTTCAAATGGTTCACGCCATACACGCCCAAAACCTGAAGTCCTAAATTGTGTGTAGGTAGACTCGTCTGACCAGATGATTTTTTTAAAATCCTCTACTATCTAATTTCATAAGTACGAACCCACAAATACCGTTTTTCTTTATTACTATCAGAAATTAATGGACTGAGACGGGAAATGCGTGAATGGAGACTTTCTTTAGCTAATTCTTTACGAATAGTTTGTGTAGAAACTATTTTATGTATTTTATTTATATAATTTAAATGTATTTGAGAGAGGGTTTGATAATGAGTTTTTTTGTTTCTAAGAATAGAACGCTTTAAACGTTTGCGTTTGAATTCATTAAAAATCCTTGGTCAACCTGTTCTTTTCTTTGGAAGGCTTTTTAGCTCATACAAATTTTACACACGTCGTACTGAAGAACGAGAGCAACCAATAACTGTGGAAATCCTGCTATTAGAATGGCCTAACTTCTTTGCT